AAGAGATTCAGGCAGAATCGCAGATGGTGCTTGACAGGCTGACAAAGAAAGATTTCCAGGGATGCTTCCAGGCTTGGCAGCGGTGCTGGGATCGTTGTGTTCACTCCCAGGGGAACTACTTCGAGGGTGATGGATGAATTTAATACCTGAGATAAGTGTATGGGTTTTTATAGGCGCAGTCTGGAAACTTTCCGATCGCACCTCGTATGTCCGGCTCCTAAAATGTTACTGGATTTGTCTATCCCCACCTGAGCACAGGTCCCAATTAGTTTCACTAGCAGAGGAAGCTGTTTCAATAAACGTCTCCAATGTGGTGATTACCAGTTATCAAACTTTGTGTATTCTATGTTGTGTGGACACATCTGATTGAAACTGATAGCATAAAAACATATAATTCCATGACATTACTACACTCGTGAACTGAATTATTATTACAACACGCTGTTCAATTATTCATTCATTACATACACCAAGTTAAGTTAATACATTAAGTTACTTGTCTTCGTATTTTTTAATACTTGTACGGTCTCAAAATGCATCTGATATATTCAATCAATCTGAGTGATGCAATGTAATAGTCCACTGATGGTGTCTGTTCATTCTTCGATCATATAATATCAAAATGCACTAAAACTATGGTGATTCACCTGTTACTCCGCCGAGACGTCCGCAGTTCCTTCTCAATCTCAAACTGCCGCAAATCTGTCCTCTGCAGAAAGTCTTGTCTCTCCAAATATCTACAAAATTTGTGAAAAACAGTAGATTCAAAATCAGATTCTAGTACAAACTTTCCAAAAAGAAACAGAATTTCACTAGATGCTGTCACATAGTGGAATACAAAGCTACAAACAAGCATTCTTTTTCAGCAAGCTACTTTTAAACAGATTAAATTTTTTATCAACTCCCAAGAAAATATAATATCACTTCCCACTTTAAGTAATAACGAGTTCTAAAATCAAACATTAATTTGTGATAGTGGAGTTGGATACATTTTAAGAAAGAGCCTCATATCCGTGAGGTAAAATTGTTTTTTTTCTTCCTTCTGAATGCATTGCGGCTCAAGAATCAAAATGGCAGTAAAAAAAGGAGTGGTTAAGACAATTAATACTGTAACAAACAGGGCCATGAAATGCCTCTTTCATAAGTCCAACGTAAATTTACACAAATTTTGTCAATGATTTCTTTTGTCAATTCATATTCATAATCCCTTGCCTCATCCTGGGGCTAGCGCTACAGACTTACAAGAAATGCCAGCCAGTATTTCTTAAATCTGATCAACACCAAACAAACTTCTATGTAAAGATAAACATCAAAGAGCATTTAAAATAAAATATTCTGTATGGCTGTGCCTCTAAACATCAGGGTATGAACAGCAGTCCGTTCTCTAGAGGGGGTTAAATGTACGGTCTGAAAACCATATTAAATGACGATACATGCTCACCCATCTCTTCCTTTATTATGCCTTTGAAGTTCTTCTTCTATTCCTTCATCTTTCTTGTAACGATCCCAGTCTAATTTAGATTTCTCCAGAGTTCCCAACTTTGATTTTTTCCCTAGCTGACCTAAAACTGAAGACAACCCTTTCAAACCACCTCTGCCACCTCTTCCTTGTCCTTCGCGCGCTTCTTGACTAACTGCAGGAGAGGCTGGTGATGGCTTGGTTGATAATCTGGCTTCAGCAGAATCTGTTGCTACTTCCTTTGTCACTCTGTAAATTTTCAATCAAAACCTATAAATGTATAACTGATTAATTAATCATGTTTCAATAGGTTTTCTCATCTCACTGAAGTACGTGCAAATGCTACTTCCTTGCATGCATGCGAGCTATATGTTCCAGCTGGCAATGACATGTACTGAAGAGAATCATCTACTACGAAGAGCATTGCTCTACACAATTTTGTCACATAAATTTTACTTTTACAAATAATATGTATTGTGTGAAACATACCAACATGGGAGTTAAAAATGGAAACATATTAAGTTGACACAAATTTTAATTAAAATGTAAGTGGAACTACGGTCTAATACACTAAACAGGGTTTTTTCTGAATATAAACAATTCTTTGTAAATTTCAAGACGATAAATTAACCCTTTCATAGTTACATTTGCATGTTTACCAAAGGGCAATAACCATGATGAACACATACCATACTCGGAGGAAGAAGAAGACACAATATTAATACATAATTCTGTTTTAAAAGGTACTGGGATACTGGGAACGACCTGTTCTTCAAGTGCCTGAGCACTGCGGGTCCCAAATTTTTCGTTGGCTCGATCTATAGTCATTCGGTGAGACTCCTTGGATGAGGGATCGGCCTGTCGCAAGGCATCTACCTGTACACAGGACAGCACAACACAGGAAAACGCGGACAAACATCCATGGCTTGAGTGGGATTCAAACTTACGGTCCCAGCAACCAAGTGGTCTCAGACCGTGCGGCCACTACGGACCCCGTTTTAAAAGGTAACTGGCCAAAGTCCAGAATGAACTTCATCCAGGCATAATGAAAGACAACTGGTGATTATGTGGATACACAGTCAGGAAGCTTCATGGACACAGTGAAATACATGGCCAAATGGCTGAGGTAACTAAAAGAAATAATTCTAAACAAAGACAAATATTACCTAACTTCTTCACCAGCAAATTCAAACACCTTGGTGATGGTAACTTTGTTCTCTTTTTGGACAGTCTTCTGTAATTCTACTTTCACTGAAGGAGATTCTTTTTTGTTTCCATTGGTCATGGTTGTCTTTGACCAGTTCACTGAACTTCCTGTGTCCTTCAAGAAATCTAAAACATATTTTCACATGAAATAATAAAAATAAAAGTAAATGTTTATACATACAAACAAGAAGTTCTAAGCAGAACAGAACAAAATATACTTTCCTATTCACTGACATCCAGCCCCACCAATCTTATGTTGTTAATGTTACATTTATAAACCAGCAATAAAATGAAATTTAGTTGGCAGGTTTGTAGTTAGGTGGTCATAGGACTGAATACTACTTGAGTCAGTCTTTATCTTATTGCTGAACACATTAAATAGTTTATATAAAAACTATTATAATTATTTTTCTCTTGTAACAAATATTTTCTTTTCTTGGTACTTCTTCTCTTGAACAAGTGGTGGACTCCACCACTCAGGCTTCAAGTACTGTCTTTTTAAGGAACAGCTAATCAAAATTTGGCACTGGAGGCTAGCCAGTGGCTAATCTGGAATCATACTTTGGGAATGGTAAGAGAAATTATGTCTGACTACCCTTACAGCTCTCAGCATCTACTCCACACCAGCTAATCATAGAGTCAAGATGTATATTTCCCACAGGGCAAACTGCTGCCAAAATTCACATTTGGGAATTATTCAAAGTCCAAATTTACTTTGTGGCATGAGTAGCTACATAAATAATGCGCTGAAATGCATTTGTGACAATGATTAAAACAGGAAACACTCCAAAGGGCAAGGTGTGGGTAAATAAATCATCAATCTCCAAAAAAGTGCAGGCTCATTATCTCACAAAAATATTTTGCCACCACCTCACCTAACAATAAACCTCCACATTAAACCTGGGAACCCTTACTGTTCTAGATAAGCATACTAAAGTCTATAGGTGTGGACCAAGTGAGAAGTCAAGAGAAGTAATTAATATACATACAAACATTATAAAGCAGCAACTGTCATACCTGACCATAGAGAGTCAGCTTTCTTCTTTTCCTGTTCTTCAGTCAGAACATTCTGTTCCTCAGATGTTTTCTTTTTGACCTCTGCCTCCTTTACTGTTGATTGCTGAATAAGTTTTCTACAAATAATACACCATATGTTAAAAAGATGGCTGTCTTTTGGATTGCAGTGCCATATAGTCTAGTAGAAGTTTACAGACATTTCAGAGGTACTTACTGCCCTAATGATGGAGGCTGCAAGTACCTCTGACACATCAGTAAACTTCTACCAGACTAAATGGCACTACAACCCAGAAGACATCCATTTTTATTTTCATCACTGTGAGAAAATCAAATCCTACTTCGATGCTAATAAGTTTTACTGAAGAGATATAATACAACATAATTAGTTTAGACTAGCTCAGCTGTAAAATACTTTAACAAATGCAATGAACATGGTTGCTTTGAAAGTAAATATAAGTTTTCTTTCTTTAAAATCAGAAAAACTATGTCAGCCTCTAATGTTCTAAAGTTTTCAATAAAATATTACAAAAATTTAGCTCACCTGCCAGCCTTTACTCTTTTTTTCTTTTTTCCATGTGATTTTTTATGTTTTCTTTTTCCAGTTTCTACAGCATCCTCAATATCACTCTGTTCTTGGTAATTTTCTTCATCTCCTTCTGATTCTTCTTCAGATGGTGGATTACTCTCTGCACCTTGAATATAAACAATTTAGATTTCCATCCCAAATTGTTTACATGTTTATTTGAAATGAATATTCTGACAAGTAGAGCATTTAACTAAATTAGGGCCAGATATTTAATTTTAACACATTACAATGTGCATCTATCATACAACAGAGTGATTTACTGTCTACACTTAAGTATATCGATTACAAATTATGCATTGGCCTGTCACATTCGGTGCTACTGTTAACAATTATAAAAATTAAATAGGCTGGAAAACAAAAACAGTTAACAAGACTTGTTCAGATACTTGATAATGTAGGTTGTTAATGTTTAAATTTCATCTGTAAAGACCAAATATAACTGTTATACACAATTAAATGCATATGTAATGTCTAGGCCAGGGGTTTTCGATGGCATACCACTAATTCTAATTTAACACATTAAATGTACCACTAACCAAATGTGTTCTGGGAAAACTTATTTATGTTAATATTACCTTTTGATTTTCTTACTTAGTTCGCGTACCATAGGTTGAGAAACGCTGGTCTAGGCAATAATATAGATTTAGGATTCGTATGATGTGCAGGCACTTTGCTTCTGGCCAGAGAGGAAAAGAAGAACTTGCGAAAATTTTAAATGACATTTTCAAAAGACTTGCAGAAATGGTTACCTATTCACACATGCCAGCGAGTCTCCTTTCCCACTAAGTAACAGGTAAGAGAAGCGATGCCAACATAGAACGAAAGATATCAAATTCCACTACATTTTCATCAATCATACTTTGGGTTGTTAGTTTAGAATGGATGCATAGTATTAACATGCATATTGCTTGAAATACGACACGAAGAACATTAATAAACGATCATACACTTCTTAATTTATAAATCAAACAACACTTCTATACAAACCACAGGGTACATAATCTTCATCACTTTCGTCACTGTCTGAAGGTAGTTCCCGCTCGTCCATTCTCCTTGAAATAAAAATGTTACTACTAATATTCACATAATATATGACAAATATTGTTGCTATTGTAAAACAAATGCGCAATTTGTTTTCCTTTTTTTGTTTTCTAAAGGTTGTGTGAGGTTAACGCTGCTATGTAGTTTACAAATAGTTTGAAATACCACAAAAGTATATAAGGATGCATTATAATTTGTAATAAATTTGTGTACTTAAATAGCATTTTAAAAGTAATTGAAATACCTTAAGTGACGTATATAAAGTATTTCGTGCTACAGCAGTTCTCGTACCGACCACTTCCTTTGCTAAAACTCTACATGCGCTCTCTGAAACTGCGCCGGTTCTCTCGTCAAATGTTCTTGTTCTATAGCAGAAGCTGTTGTGGAATGTGGAGCAAAGATGAGAAAATGTTTTGTTTGGTATTATGTTGACAGCGATTAAATTGAAAGTAAGTTAGAATGTTTCTTCTTTGTAAGGTAATTAGATTTATATTAAAATTGTAATTGTCGGGGTGTTTGCCTTACGTAGAGAATTACGAGATGGGATAACAACGAAATGTCATTTCACTGTTTGAAAGGTCACTAATCACATTCCTGCATATATTTACTTTACCACTCAGTCGACATAGTTTTAACATTGATGTCGTTCTTTACCTGTTGATGGATTGTAACGTTTTTCATGTGCGTGCAAGTTTTGTGTGAATTATTTCAGGTTTTTGCAACTGCATGTGTCTAATCATTACAATGGAATCTTCGGAACGATACGAGTATGGTACATGAATGATTCAGATGTGGATAAGTGTTTCTGGACTGGCATTGCACCCCTTCCAGAATGTCCTATGCTGCAAAAGAATTTCAAACATCAGAATTAGATACAGTTGCAAATGTGATTGGTCTTACTCCTACAGATCCTCTCAATACATTTGCAGGCAAGTACGTCTGTAGGTCCAGTGTTCTAGTAAAATATGTTTGCTGCTAATTTGTGATTTAGTTTTTTTGTGTTATTTAATCTTGAGCACTTCAAATTTAACTTGGTTGGATTGTAAGAGACCACAAAGTCTTCCAACAATAATAAATTTAATCAACTAAAACGTCTTTACAGCACAAAATAATCTCGTCTACAACACACTTCTCCTACAAGCGATTCACACTTCAGCTCTCTTCGCAGTATTTCTTCCACACTCTCAATAAACACACTGCCAATAAACAGACGCAACAATGTAAACACAACAATGCTAAATGCAACAATGTCATTAAACAGTTCAATAATGCCAACCCCAACACATCACACTATATATATATATATATGTATGTGTGTGTGTGTGTCTGAATTTTGGTCTTATTTGCAAATAGTGGATCTAACATAAGAATTTGAATCTATTTATACCCAGCTTGTTTGGTTTCAATGTTTAATACAGATTTCCCACATTAAGTGGAAATGTCTCAGGAAGAAGTAAATATATTTACTAGGTAAGATGTAAAGTGGTCCCTGTGTCTAAGCACCATGCCATTAAGACTGCAAGGGAAACAACTGTGGTAACCATTGAATAGGAGTCTGGGTTTGTACCAGAGCCAGTCTGGATTTAGTGGCAAATAGAAAATCCCCTAACCCTGCTAGGGATCAAACCTTAGGGAACCAGATTATAGCCAGTAACTTTTCCAACTGTGCTATCCAGCTCATTTATGGTTTCTAGTCACACAATACCATTTGAAGTTATATAATGAAAGTGGTCACCATATGTACAGATATTACTTTTAAATAATGTGAAGTAGAGTCTAGTATTAACATTGCAAAAACTTTAGTATCCTTTTCATCAGAGTTTGTTTAATGTTTGTTATTCTTTTAGAAATGTGGTATCAAGTATTTCTGTGGGCCTTGTTTTCTTCTATCTTCGTTCATGTAATTGCTGCTGCCATAGCCTTTGCAACACTCAGGAAACACAAGTTTGGAAAGTGAGTATCGGTATATTGTTGGTTCACATATCATTATAAGAAAGAAGACTTATGAATATGTTGTAGAGTGTATTTAGCAACTCTTAATTTTTGTGATTATGTTATAATGTTGCTAGTATAGTTCATTTAGAAAGTGATTGGTTATAGACTGGATAGCTGTGGTTTTATTCCTACATTCCTCTTTTTGCCACTGCAGCCAGACTGGTTCCAGTTTCCTGCAGTATATTCCAGTTGGTGACCAGTAAACTATTTTGACCATCTACATTTTCCTGATCTTTCTGCATGCTCATAGAATTGCACTATTTTATTTGTTATTCTCCAGAATTCCTCCATTTTATTTCAGATGATTCCATATCTCCTCCTGTAATTAAAATCTACAGATGGTTATTTGCTAGCTAAATTACATTTTTATGACATTCAAAGTACAATCTCTAGCTGGTTAAGATCCTGTCTTACAGATGGAAATTAATAAACTGAAATAAAACCATCAAATATAACTCAGAATTTTCTCTCAAACCTGGGGAACAGTAAAACATGGTGTTCCCAAGGTAAATTCTAGAGTCTTTGCTTTTCATAATATTAATGACCTTCCTCCAACAATAAACACCTTATCAGATCCTATTATAGTTGCTGATGATACGAGTATAATAATTTGTAGTAAAAATACAGATAATTTCTGAACAATAAAAGTTTCTTTCTTATATAAGTAAATGGTTTACTGCTAACAAGGTGACCCTTGATCTAGATAAAACAAATATGATAACATTTGTAACAAGTAATTCACCATAATATGCATAAAGTATTTCTTATGATGAAATGTACATAGAAGTAGGTAAATACAAAATTCCTTGTAATTTGTAAAATTGATTACCACTTAAATTGAAAGAATATTATTGGTCAATGATTCGTGAATAGAATATGGTATTCAGTTAGATTAATGTTTTATGTAGCTGCACCGACACTCTGAAATAAATTTATTTTGTCTGATTTTATTCCATAATGAAATATGGAATACTTTTTGGGGTACTTTATCCAACAGTAAAATGATATTTACTTCACAAAAGAGAATTGTTGTTAATTGTAGCTGGTGACAATCCTAGATGGGTGAAATCTGTATATTTTGAATTGTATATGTCTGAATAACTTCTGGATGCATGGTGTATATATTAATATGTATGAATTATTATCAATGAGCCGGGATAGCTCAGTCAGTATAGTGACTAGCTACGGGCTGGACGACCGGGGTTCGATCCCCGACGGGGGCAGAGGATTTTTCCTCTAGCCTCTGCGTCCAGACCGGCTCTGGGGCCCACCCAGCCTCCTCTACAATGGGTACTGGGGTCCTTTCCCGGGGGTAAAGCCGGCCGGGGCGTGATGCTGACCACTCACCCCCATCTAGTGCTGAGGTCAAGGAAGAGAGGAGCTATACCCCCTCTCACCCCAAACGCCTACTTGGCGTATAGTGGGACAAACTTTACTTTACTTTACTTATGAATTATTATCATCTTTTGATGTATTTGGCTCAGTGGCTTGTTATAGTCTCATGTGAAAATGATATTCCAGAGTGTATACTTTGCTTATTATTGTTGTTATTTGAAGCTACAGACATTTCATTTGTTGAAGGTTCTTTCCCATTTTCATCCTTGTGATGGGTGTATTGGCTCCACTAACATCAGGTGTGGTAAGCAGCGCAGCAGTGGCTTTTGTGTATAGAGCTTCCAGTTTGCAGATGGCACCACTGTATGCATTGGTCTGGGGACTGGGGCAGACTTTCTTGGCTGCATGCATCGGCTTCACTCGAATACTTGCCACTTTATAACACTCTGGTAATCAAATGAATGAATGTGGAAGAAGAATATTAGCTCACACTTTTTCAGAATTCCCTGACATTTTGCTGTCTTGCTTGTTCTCTATTATTATAGTGGGACTGCATCCTGAAAGAGTATATTGGTCTCTTAAAGTTGTATATATTTTTGTATATTTTTGATTTATTTCACAAACATTATATTTATTTTTGATGTTTAGACTCAGGATGCATCCTTTACAGACAGAAACATTGAGCTCAAAGCACTAGTCATATTGGAAGTCCCTTAGAGGAAGAATGATTGTAAATATCCATGCATACATCAGTTCTGTGTTGAAGGTGGACAGATAATTTATATGAAATTCCTACTAATTTTTTGTTTCAGTTTCATTTTGGTGTAAATAATTTTGTAATTTTTGTAAGTATTCTTTTAAAGCTTACAGTCAACTCATTCTCAGACTTAACCCATTCACTGTTTGCATGACAAGTTGCCATGACCCTGCTGTATACCAGGTAGACACATTTAAGTGACGTGGAGCTTGTTGCTTTGTCACAACTGTCAGCATGTTGTGGAAGTTACAAGATTTTGTACACAACACAGTGGTAGTTTTACCATTTGTGGTTATTAGGTTTATCAATTTCTGATTCATGTAATAGGTAGAACAGAGTTTTTCAATATTCTTTGTAGAAACTGTTCTAGTTGCAGTAATATGTTTGTAAGATAAAATTTCTTAACTATAATGTCTGTATTGAAAGCTGATATACGTGATAGAAACAAAAAACTGGAAAGAAGCAACCATACTGACCTGGAAGAATAATCAGGAATACACTACATGAGAATCTTCTAGACCTGATGTCCAGAATTGTCCTGAGTCAGATAGTTGCTATGCTTGACAAAGCATTTCTGGCAAAGTAGACATATTCCATGGCATCTGTACATCTTCACACGCAGTTGAAGTATTCTTGGGAATATATTCCTGTACCTAATTCTCTTTAGTTTCTCAGTATAACTTTGAGGCTGGCAGTGGATGGATTAATTCAGGCAGCTAGTGCATTGAATCTGAGTTTTTTTGGAGGTGTATGTTCTCATAAGAAACATTACAGCACAAAATATTAACCAGTTCATTGGCTCTATAAAATCTGTATTTCACATAGAGTACTTATGCTTCCTAAGATAGATTCGCTCGTATGGCTTGCCTCTGTGGATTATGTATGTATTTAGAAAGGAGCATGTAAATATGTACTGAGTTTGTAACATATTTTTGTGAATATAAGTAGTGGTTCACAGTAGTGACAAAAATACTGTGCAAATTTTGGTTTGAAAGTGGTGGAAGGAGACCACATAATAGTTGATTATGTATAAATGAATGTGATTAGCATGGATAGTGCCTATTTGCAATTTGTCAATATTGTCAGACATTGGAGAAAATGTGATATTGAATGTTTTGGCATGGAGCTATTTTTTTCCAATGCCAGGAGTTGTTATTTATTTAAAGGTGTAAATACTGAGCAGTGACTTATGAAAAGTTGATAGAATACATCTGAGGAAATTATTAACTTGGAAAAAAAGAAGGAAACTTGTAGATCTCAGATGATGCAAGTGTCTTTTGTATATAACATGATAAAACACCACTTAATGTATAAATGTTGGTTAAAGCACTCCATAGGATTAAGTTTGGAACAAGGTTTGGATAAAGTTCAATATATAAGAATGTGATTTATGTATGTTCATGGTCTAGTACAGTATTATTCATTACTAATAATGGAATCACAGGTCTGTAATTAAAAATTACTTTCTTACTAATAGATCATTTAATGTTATTTTATTTCCAGGATTGATAGTGGGGAAATGTCAATGAAAATGTACCTTGAATGAGATAATCATGGGGTATGTATTTAAGAAATGTGAGAATTTATTTCAATATTACAATAAGTTTTATAAAATTTCTCTGGTGGTTAATTATGTAAGAGGAACAGTTGCTGAATATTTTCAGCACATATTTATAAATAAATAATGGAATATCTGTTAATTTCTTTTTAATATTTGCTGGCTCTCAATATGTCAGGACTTGTTAGGTTTGACCTTTTCACTGAGGTGAGACTGCAGATGGCTGTCTTCTGGGTTGCGCCATGTAGACTGGGTTGAAGTTTACTGTCGTTTTTCAGAGGCCTTTGCTGCCTCCATCATCAGGGCGATGAGTGTCATGACCTAATGTCTAAATACCATGGATCGTTCGTCATAGTATGTTGGGGCCCCTTAATTTCATTGGTAGTTATCCTAGCAGAAGCAGGTTATCTATGGTCACAGATAGGTAATGTGCACGAGAGATAGTATTCCGTATTGCTGTGGCAGGTGACATGGCGTTTGACGTTTGTGTGAATGAATTAATAATGTAAATGATGTTACGAAGTTAGTGCACGTTGAATTAGTTACCCTGATTTATGTCGTATGCAGTTTTTAGAGTAATATATTTTTGTACATATTGTTATGTGTGGACGTGAATTAACATTTATGGTACTGAAATATGGCTAAGCTAGTTGAAGATGCCAACAAGAAAAATGATTATTTTACGAAAGTTCCAGTTACTAGCGAAATTAGTTATGCGGATATTGCCACGAAACTTATCAACGAAAATTTGCTTCTCACAGCTCTTGAACTTCACACAGAACTTGTAGAAGCAGGACGTGAAATTCCGAAATTAAGGGATTTTTTTTCAAATCCAGGAAACTTCGAGCACCAAGCAGCTCCGCGTCTTGAAATATCGCCATCAATTCGTTAGTATACTTTCACCTATACATATTTTGTGTCGTCTATCATTTGAAGCTCCGAAATGTTTGTAGTGTGGTGTCAGTTACCTTTTTCTTATGCAGCAAGGTCTTCCAGCCAAGCAACACTTGATTCATTGGATCTTACGAGATATTCTGAAGATGGGGAACGTGGTGTTGATGAAAGAGTTGCAATTTTGGAGTTTGAATTACGAAAAGCCAAGGAGACTATTTGTGCCCTTCGAGCCGACTTGACAGTAGCAACAGGTAGTTATTAGTGATACATGTTCTGGTTTATGTGCTTATTACACTATTGTGTATTCACCAATCATTTTATGTCATTAAGCTTTAGCTCCTTCCACTGCCTTGATTAAAGTATAGAACAGGGTGCTGATTGATATGATGTACATTCATATACATGTGTGTCGCAAAAAGCTCATACAGGATGATGACGTGTATAATAGAAGAGAGACTGCTTTGCAATGTGGTAATCATAGCATGCACTCATGACAGAATAATCTTTGATACTTTTTGCACACTTGTCACTGAATATAGATTTGCTTCAGAAATGTAAAAATTATGGTGAAATACAAGAAGTTGTATTTATTCTGACTGTCTGCTATAACTACAAACATCTGTTGGCAAATAAATTATGTAAGAACAATGGTAAATGGTCACTGTATAGTAAAGATATATTAAAGAATGAATAGGTTAGGTTAGTTTTAGTGTTTCTTCTACCATCTGTTAACATTCATAATTGAGCCGGTTTGGGCTGGATGATTGGGATTTGATCCCTGACTGAGGCAGAGGATTTTCTTTAAGCCTCTGTGTCCAGACTGGCTCTGGGCCCATCCAGCCTCTTGTCCAATGGGTATCAGGGTTCTTTCCCAGAAGTAAAACTCAGCCAGGGCATGCTGCTGACCACTTACCCTCTTCTAGTGCTGAGGTTGAGAGTGAGTAGGAGCTGTACCTCCTCTCCTCTAAAATCCAACATTCACATGTAACAGGATGGCTAACATTCATGTGCTTACATTGTTTGTTGTAGGAGAGTTAGCACTTTATTGAATATTTTTACCTGTTGCTTGGTGTATTGGATTACCTTAGCTTAATTTGTTGTAATTTACTTCTTTTTATGATTGTTAATGTAGTTCCTCAGTCTGCATATTTTGAGTTGTTTTAGTAACTTATTTTAACCCGACAGTTTGTTTTATTCAGATAGTAGTATACTGGGATATGGTGCCATATAGATTTCTGCTTGTACACAAATGGTTTGGAGGTACATGCTACCTCCATCTTCAGGGTTGTATCTGCACTTCAAGGCTACAATATGCCCACAGTCTGAAAGACCACTGTCTGAACTGTCATCACTATGAAAACCTCGAAGATCGTACATGACAGTATATTTTATGTTGTTCCAGCATGTGTTACTGTTTATCAGTATGCCTCATTTTATTTTTTATGCCATAGCAAGTGAGTATAGTGCACTAAAATCAGCTTACAGAACTTAACTACTCATTGTCATCTTCAATAATAAGGCCTAATGATCTGTTCTTTCCCCATTAGTACTTTCTTTTCTTAATTAATCTTTTTGTAGACCCTCTAACACTCCTTTTTATGTGTGTGGACTATAATTCAAAACTGTTTTTGGTATATGATTTTACCCTATTCTGTCAACATGCTCTCACCTTTTATTTCTATAATCTGAATTTCTGTATATAATATTATTAATCTGAAATTAATTTATTTTACCTTTGCTCACCTCAGACAGTAACTCCTGCTCCTGAAGTTAAAGACAAGTAATGGAACTATATCTGAATTTCCATTCATTTATAATTAGTTTTAACATATCAAGTTCATTACTGTTTAATTTTTTAATGAAGTACCACAAGATGTTTTCCAGTCACATGTGGTGTCACTATACTTTGTATCACTAGCAGTAGCCTGTCTTTTTTGTTTTGTTGACAGTTGGTCTTGTAAATAAAATAAAAAATTGAGAGAAGAAACAATAGAACAATGCGTGGTTACCTGTAGTTTAATCAGCACTTTAACTCGCTTTAAATACAGATAAGTTCTGCTTATTGTGATCCTGAAAGAGACCTGTTATGGCAGATTCTAATGAAAAGTGTCAATCTGATAGAAACAATTAAAAGCACGTATACCCAATGAAATGTTTGCATTCAAATGGAAATAAGGGACAAAAAGAACAAACAAAAACAGCTTTATTGGTACATGGAAGAAGGATTTATGGAGACTGAAACATAAAGAGATCTTCCTGAGATAATGAAGAAGAGAGAAGACTTCCTAAAGATGGATGGAATTTTGATTCTAGTACACTGGTTATAATGCCATATAAAACTAGTATGTAGTGAACCCTTTTTTAGTAAATAGCTGCATTTGTATATAATTTAACATAGAATTTGTTTGAGAGATTGTTGTGATGTGTGACCCATTTTGATTGATATGTGTGTCTGTCTACAGAACTCAGAGCACAGGCTTTGTTGTTCAAGAACTAGCCAACAGGAGAGCAATTGGCAGAATTGTATGGTTACCCATCCCATAATTTTCTGCAGTTAATGTTACATAACCTTTAAGTGACTGACAGTAAGCAGTCATTAATTTCTATTGAATTGTGTTGATATATTTTGTATCAACATGATGGAACACTTGAGAGGCTGTGAAAACTTTAGATTGTATGTGAGGGAGTATCATTAAAAGTAAATTTTTATTGTTCTCTGTGTTGCAGAATCAGAAGTAGCAGCTCCAGATGCTGGGTCAGTGAAGCCTATTAACAATGAACCAATCAAGCCACATGAACAGCGTGCACTAAATTTTCTTGTGAATGAATATCTTTTGTTGCATGGCTACAAACTCACATCTATTACATTTGCAGATGAAAATGAAAATCAGGTTTGATGCTATTAATTCACATTTATATGAGAATATTTGCAGTGCTAGTCAATAGTAAGATTTTTGTCAGTATACTATGGGAAATTTTTGACATTGGTGCCTAAATTACAGTAAGAGTTTAAAATTAATAGAACATTAAGGAAGTGAAAAAAAAGTGGTTCAGTGTTACACTTTTGCCAACAACACGCATACAGTAACATGTCAGGACTTATTCATTATACTTATGCTCCTGTGTAGTGCAATATATGTCAAATATGAATTCAGTCTCATTAATTTTCTGGCATGTTTTTCCATTCCATACATTGATGTTGTTAAACCATAACCCTGGGGGATATATGCTTTTTGATCTATATCTGTACATAAAAATATCAATTTGTATGCTTTCCTAGTAGTGCCAGTGTGAAGACCAATACTGTGTTTTTTTTGTTAGGATTTTGAAGACTGGGATGACGTTGGCCTAAACATTCCAAAGCCTGCAGAGTTGCTCAGCTTATATCGAGACTTCATGCGCCAATCCGGCCATGTTAGGTTACCCTGCCAACACATTGCAAGCCAAACAGACTGGTTGGCTGAGGATCTGAAGAAAGATGCAGAGATGCAAGAGTTGGTATGTGTGATTACATAACTCTTCAAGCTGTTGACATATAATTTAATTTTTATGTTGGACAAAGATTACACTACTGCATTGAGCATTGTCTGTGTTTATTGCATGAAGTGAGTGTATATTGAGGAGGTTATGTTTCCGTTTTTCATCTCCCAACACAATTAAGCAGAATTTTTGTGTGAGAAGCCGACTTCAAAGGAAGAGATTATATGAGCGTATTAAGAGAAGAAAAATATTAAAATGATTCTTGGGGCATGGCATCAGTTGGTTAGTTTTGTTAGGTCTGTACCTTCTAGTAGATATGTTGGTTATTTTTCTTTGTTGCTAGATGATAGAAATGGAGCACCTGAAGGAAGACATTAATGCTCTGGAGCAAGAAAAGCAAGAATTTAAGAGGCTGTGGATGCATGAAAATAGACTTACTGCTGGAGAGATAGTGTCGAGTGTCACCACCCCAGGTTCTGAACTGGTTGGGATGGTGATTGGTGAGACAGTGTCAATGCACAGCACTACTCCTGAGCACTTTGAACTGATTGAGGCTGAAGGGAGAAACATGGATGAAAATGAAGTTCAAATTCAAGGGGAAGATGATGGTTCGGCACTGAGTTTGACTGATACAGACACAGAATGGACACGTGTCATGCTGCCACCTGTAGTTGATGGTGATAGCATTCCAGTTGACTCATCCCAATCAGCTCACAAGTTTGCCCATCCACATGTGTTTTGCAGTCCTGATTCTAGGTAAAGTGTGGCAGATTTATATTTTAGTCTTTGCTTTGTAGAGTTGTGAAATGTGATCCTTTTGGGGGAGGACCATAATTTGCAATTATCTATGCATAAACAGTTGGGAATAATATCTAAAATGAAAGCCTCAAATGTTATATAGGTGTGATCGAGGTAATAAAGGAAGTTATATGATGAGAAACTTTGTGATTTGTACACTTCACTAAATATTGCAGTTTTAATCAGAACAAAGAGGTTGAAGTGGACTGGATGTTTAGCTCAAATAGGAGAAGTGGGGTGGGGGGGTGGGAATGAGTTCTGATGGGGAATATCTTAGATAGAGGTCACTTGAAAACTTGAAAATTGATTGGTTTATTTAACAATGCATTTTTAACTGTATAACTTATGTAGCATAGAATATTAGGATGATTTATTAACAGTAGTTAAAATAGATATGAAAGGAAACAGTCATAGCATATTTTAGGTCAGTATTCCAGCATTTTTTATTGTTGCTGTCTTGGTTCTTAAAACTGAAGGACACTCTTCTATACATCTCTTGACCTGCTATTTTGTCATCCTTTTATCTCTCATTTTTTGCTACTGGAAAGAGACTGTCTCCCACATTTAGCATTCCATTATTGACCGAAGTGACAGTGAGACTTAGGATGATGAAACATTGATGGAGAGACCAAGACTTTATTGAGATTCATAGGAACAAGCCTTGCAAAGTTCATGGTGATAATGATCATGATCATGAATAATGATTCTTAGAGAGAATAGAGTAATTTATCAGTTGAATTAATGTTGTGGGATATAGACACAGACTTTTAAAGTGAACATTGAAGAGTTTATGGATGTAAATTGAATTGAGTGTTGTGTTACAGTGATTAGCTCTCCTGCTGTGTGTTGTTGAGGTCCTGGGTTTGAATCTCAGCTTGGAAGCTGGCTACCATGACTGCGGTTTTCTTCAGTTGTTCCATGCATGTGCTGGGATATTCTTCAAGATAGACCAAACCACTTCTTTCCACACCTTTTCCAATTCATCATTTTTATCATGCTACCCCTTGATCCTGTATGTATGGTGTCATTACATAAATGAACAAGAGGCATGATCTTGCATAATTTTCAGAATTAATGTTGTTTGCAGCTGAAGTATGTCTTTCCCATTTTGCTCAAGTTTAATACCAAACATGGTTCTGTGGTTAGATTTCAAATTTATTTTCTTTCAGACCAATTCCGGATGCATTCCGGCGTGAAGTTCTGGCTCGTTGCTTTGTGAACATATCTCAGAAACAGGATGGGCACCTGATAGAAGAGATGTTAAATGATGGAATCTCTGAAGAACGTTTAGTGTACATTTTGGGCCGAAGTTTACCCAGAATTATCCCTAATGTTATACTCAACAAGAGGGAGGTGTGTATAGAAGTGCAGGGCATTTGTAGAATTTGAAATTTGTAAAACAGCAACAGTCTTACAACATTACTACAGACACACGCACGCGCACACCCACACTCATGCACACACCAGTATATGCTTTTATGTAGAACATCAATTTAAATTATTTGAAAACATATTGCTAAGGAAAATATAATAGAGTTCTGAGTGGCATCTTATTCAGCTCATTAGTTGTTTTATTATTAAATTTTTTATACCTCATTATTTTTTCATATTTGTATATATTTGTTAGTATTCTGTTCAGATATTATCATTATGTCCAATTTCTTATATGCTAAAGGTCATATTAACTAAGTAACAAACAAATTATGGTTCTGTAACTTGAAGGTTCAGTTCCACTGATATGAAATTCCAGCTCTAGAAATGATTGTTAGTTAGACCTGTCTATGCAGTACTTGCTGTCTCCTTGTACTCAGTCTGAATTTTATTCTCCCATCTTCTTGGTCTTCCAAATGGACATTTTCTGAAAGGTTTTCTTACCAGAATTGTGTGAATTCCTTGTCTCCACCATTCTATCCATATGCCAAGTTCATCACATCTTCCTTTGCTTCTCTTAACTAGCAATATTCAGTGACTTGCATATATCACATAGTTCCTCATTATATAACATCCTATGTTTTTCACTTAGCCATCCTTGTCAGTTACATGTATTTGCTTTAGCATTTCTAATTTATATTCTGCCTGCAATGTAAGATGGTTCACATACATTGTTTTGGTAACTAAAGAAGAATTGAGTGAGTGGGACATGTAGCACTCATGTGGGAAACAACAATGTTATGTGATGTTTGGTTAGAAAGTCTGATAGGAAGAGATCACTTGAGAGATCAGTGCATAATACTAGAGTAATATTAACATGGATATGAAGTTTTTGAAGGTGTTAGCTGGACTGGCTCAGGATGGGGTTATCTTGAGGGTCTCTGGATTCTGTAATAACATGAAATTTCTTGACATGCTAACAGTTGCTCAATGAAGATATGTACCATGAAGTTAGTTAAGTACTCTTCAATGTAATAAGTTAATGCAAGATACATATTTTTCTAGGAACTGGTTCCATTGATAATCTGTACCATCCATTTGCATCCAGAAGCATCCAAGCGAGATGTTCTGCTGCATCTACTGTTTAATCTGAAGAAACGTCCACAAGAAGATGAAAGGAGGATGATTCTTGCAGGTGATTTTTCTGATATAGTTTATAATATTACTAGTTTCTATTAGCAGCTACTATTAGTAAGCATCATCACAAACAACCATTAATGGTGATCTGTTCTGGCTTTAGAGTTCATGTTGCCTGAAAATATTTAAAACATGCTGTTTTTTCATAGTGAGGAATTGTTAGTCCCTTACCCAACCACTGGGCTGGAGGACCACCCATTGTCGGCTATCTTTGACTACTTATTCGATATATTTGCAGCCACCCTCAATGTCTAGAGACATTTTCCATCAGCAAACTGAGGACACTGAGCTGTGGTGACATAAAATGGGGTTTAAATTCTCTGTTCCTGTACAATGAAGGTTAACTTGATAGTTATTATTTATGTGTAACATGGCCAAATTTAATTATGTTCTTTAACTTTTAAAATTGTATACCTCACTCAAAGGATGTAACAGGTGACAGGACAGATTTAGTGTATGCTTATGTTTGCAATGCTACAGGAATTGTGGGCATTGCACGGTGTTCAGGACTGAGCCTTGTGGAAAATGAGATTTTACCTCAGTGCTGGGAGCAAATCAGTCACAAACATGTTGAGCGGAGGCTTCTGGTGGCTGAATCTTGCAGTGCCCTTGCTCCGTATGTCTCAGTAAGTAATTATATGGTTTAAAGAAACTGTATCCTGTACAGGTATGGTGCAAGGTGCTGTTTCTCTACCACATCACATGATGTACACTCATTAAAATTATTAGAGGAATGTGCAGTTAAGAGTGTAAATCATGGTATGAAGCTCGTTTGTATGTAAAAGTTTCAAACTTGGTGACACTGCGTTGTTGGCTATTAAGAGTAAAAGTAAAGTTGTGCCTGTGCTTAAGCATCACACCATGATAATGGAGGTAAACCTAAACACATTTCTTAACCTTGGCTCTTGATGGAGGTGAGTGGTCAGTTTTATGCTATTGTCATTTAAGGGTTTTATGTTGTCACTTCTACTCTTAAAAGTTATTGACTGAATCATGTGACTGAAGACCTGAACGTCATGTTCTAGAGTCCAATCCGCAACTCCTTAATGCTGTCCATGCTGCAGCAGATGCTTCTAGAAGACAAAGACAATACAGTAAAGGAAGCTGTGGTTCACAGTCTGGCACTCATTGTTACTTTCATGGATGATAAAGATAAATATTTTCAAGTAAGTTCATGCTTGCTTACTGTGCAACCCACATTTGACATTCATGTAGTTCTTGTCATATGGAATGACATTTTAAATTTCAGATTTGAGTGGTGAATATTTAGATGCCTGATTATCTGCAATTTTATTTTGCTTTAGTATTAACTTATATTATTTCCCTCTTCTCTGACTGAAGAGAATGGAATTGTGGAAATGCTTATATTTGGGATGTAGGTTAAGTTACCGGTTATCCTGACTGAGATTTTTCATGGTTTTACTCAGTTTTATGCACATTTACTCTGTGTATGTACAGGTCACATTCATCATGTTCATAATTTCATCATTGTATAATATGAAGAGTAGAAATTACAAAACTTATCATTGTATACTTTTCTTCATTATTCTCTAACACCAAAATATTCTGTTAACACACTGTTCTGAAGTGCTGTTTGTATTTTTTTTGAGAGTGAGGTGATTTGTATGGTGATAGTGATGGGTTGATTTTCTGCAGTGGTGAGAAGCAGCCACTTGAAGAGTTACTGTTGAAAGAATTAATGTTTTAAGGAGCTATAACATGTCTCAAAATGTACTCTTTGTACATTGTAGTGTGAGGAGTTGGCAATGGCTACTTTAGAAGACATGTCTGCTAGTGTAGTGGAATCTGCCACTAGAGTTCTCTTCCCAGTTCTTGCAAAGTGGGCTTTTGATTTGGGTCAACTTCAAAGCCATCTACTGACTCGCCTGTTGCAGAAACTCAAGTCTCAAATCAAGGTGACATTTTGAAATTAATTAATGTCCTATTCTTGCTACTGGCTACTGTTTTGTAGACAATAAGATTAAAAAAGTTCATTGTATACATGCACATCTCTGATCCTGTATACAAATGATTGTAATCTTGCTAGATAAGTTTTTTTTTTACTTTACCCAAACCCAGGGACTCTGTCATCTGAATGTACTTTCTTCCTTCATTTTTCCTTTGTGCTACCCTTCTAACTCCTTCCTGTATTCCTATATTGTTCTGTTTCTTTTCTCTCTCTTCCCCCTTTCCCTCCTTCCTGACAGCCTGCTTATCCATTGGCATGTGTGTGTATGAGTGTCAGTCTCCTGATTTAAATTTTGGCTGTTGGTATGTGACATTCATCTTCAGAACTCAGATGGGTGACTGAAATGTGAGAGGTACAGAGTCTGTAGGCTTAGATGTACAAGTATTTACTTCACTTGTTGAGGAAATATGGTGGTATAGAGAAGTAGCATTGGCATACTGTATCAAACATCTTGGGTTTGAGACTAGTTGATCCATTACAGACTTCTCTTTCTCCACTTTTGATATAGACATATCTTTGTGAATGTAGCATACCAAGATCACAGCATGGTTCAGAACCAGCATTAAGCTGTATATATTGTTTCTCAGCCATCCTTATCATAATCCTCCCATCAAGGGTAGTGGGGTCTGTTCAGTGGTGTTTGCACCTCAGAAATGACCTCTTTTACCAGAGGCCTAGATGGTTGTTGTAGTATGAATGTTTAAGTTACTTTTAGGTACATTTACATCGCTGCAGAGCTGCTTTTAAAATCTCTTGGTCTAGACATTCATCTTTATCCATGTAATGACTTGAGAATGGCTTTGTTGATTTCATTCAAATTTGATATTGGGGAGTTCTAATAAAGTTTGTCAGCACCTTTCAGTTTTCATTAAGACTGGACAGCAGTAAAAAGTAAAGTAAAGTTTGTCCCACTATACTGGACAGCAGTAACATGCTTAAATACATTTTTGTGGTCAGAGGTGACTGAGAGGAATCCTATCCAGGGAATTTCCATGTGGAGAATGCCTCTGCCATTCACAAAGGTCAGGTGTTATGCTGTGCAGATGTTTCTTAACTTGTTCTGTATGTCTTCAACAGTGTGTGGTTATATATTTGTACAGCTGTAGGTCCATCTTAGTAGCCACGGTGGTCTAGCGGTTAGACGCTGGCCTTGTAATCCTGGGGTCTCGGGTTCGATTCCCGGCGGTGCCCGAATTTATAACTTGTGTTGGACAAGGCCGTGGCCTAGTCAACACGGAGTTATCCTCCGGGGGCTTCCCCAGTTTCTCCGTGGCATCCCAACAATTAATCCATTCACACACAGAAGAAGGCAATGGCAAACCACTTCTGAATCATTTGCCAAGAACGTATATGAACAGGTCCCAGTCTGAGAAAAGGATGGAAGGATCCTGTTCATATGGACCTGTCATCAGACAGAACACTAAATAATATAGCTCCATCTTATGTTGGCTTTATTGCTTGTATGTGCAGGCTTTTGTACCAGAATCATCAGGGTCACTGTCCCATAAGAAAAGCTCATACAGTGACCAGAGACCTGCATGGACTGTGACAGTGCTCCAGACACTGGTGCCTTACGTTGTCATGTTTGTAGCAGCTGTGGACACTGTCCTAAGCAGAATCTCAAGCACTAAACCCATTGTGAACAGTAAGTAGTAGTGTATCGGCACACTTGGCAGTTCTTTGCATTTGGTTTGCAATGGAGATTCTGTGTGTCCCTCTGTCTATATGCATGTTTCGTATGCAGCGTCATTTAGCTGATGTTAATAAAATTTTATATTGGAGGTCTGTACTAAGGATAGTCAGGGGAATTTAACTTTTATCCTTATTGACCCACATAACTGGTACTTTACATGAACCCCAAATCAAAACATAAAATTTCTCAAAAACCGCTTATTTTACAAAAATTGTCACATAAAATAAAATGTTGATTGTGTTAAGACCTAAAAACTATATTAAAAACTTTTTTTTATAAGTCTAAGAAAACACAAGGAAGAAATACTCATTGCAGTATAGTTTATAATGGACAAACACATTGGGTAAGGCCTGAGTTTGGTCAAGCTAGTCAATCCGACTGTTGTTTCTTGAGGCTAGTCATATCAGGCTGATTGAAATGTGTACATTTCATGCTCATAAATTTGTGGCATTCTTATGTTGAATTAAAGCAATGCTGTTACCAATTTATTTCTGTAAAAATATTTTAGGGCAAGAATTCTCAGTACTGGGCCATGGATTAACAAATCCATCTGTCTTCTATGAAGGCGAATATGATATTGGTTTAATCCTTGCTTCGTTTGAATCATATGTTGGTCAAGAATGGTTTGAAGAGTGGGCAGAGATGGAGTGGACATGCCACACATTGTAAGTAACAAACACTGTCTGACTGACTTACTGATTGGCTGACTGAGTCATTAATTAGCTGAACGATCAAATACTTTTTTTCCTTTAATCCACCGGTGAGCATGCATGCATGGGTGTGTACACATTTACATATATGCACACCTGCCATTGGATACAGGAATAGGGAAGTTTCTTCTATCTTTCATCTTCTTATAACCCACTTTTCTAAAATTCATGTTATATTCCCACTTCTTTCTTGATGTGCATTTCAAAGATCCTCCCACCACTATCTTGATTTTTCAAGTGGTGGCTTCCCAA